AAATGGCATAGAAATTAGAAACAAAGACATAGAACAATGTTTTCAGATGATAAGAGTATATGCCTGGATATACAAAGGAACTGATAGAAAATCCATGATGAAAAATAATTCAGTAAGCTTAAGACATAATACTGATGTACAAAAAACGTTTTGTACACAGGGTTTTAAAAATTTTTTTGTTTATTTTTGAGAGAGACAGAATGTGAGAGGGGGAGGGCAAAGAGAGAGGGAGACACAGTATCTGAAGCAGGCTACAGGCTCTGAGCTGTCAGCACAGAGCCCAACGTGGGTCTCGAACTCACCAACCGTGAGATCATTACCTGAGGCAAAGTTGGATGCCCAACCGACTGAGCACGCAGATGCCCCAATAGGGTATTATTTTTAAGATTTCATTTTTAGTTATCTCTACACCCAACATGGGGGTCAGGTCATGATCCTGAGATCAAGAGTGGCAGGCTCCACCAACTGAGTCACTCAGGTGCCCCTGTACATAGCATATGTTTGTACAGTAATTTATGTACAACAAATAATCATTTATGAGTTATAGTAGGAGGGTCTGCAATTACAAAAGTGTAACATAAAATGAAATAGGGGCACATGGGGTGCTCAGTCAGTTAAGTGTCCAACTTTTGATTTCGGCTCAGGTTGTGATCCCAGGGTCATGAGATTGAGCTTTATGTCTTGTTCTATGCTGAGCATGGAGTCTGATGTGATTCTCTCTCTCTCTCTCTCTCTCTCTCTCTCCCACACACACAAACTCTTTCTCTAAAACAAATAAATAAATAGCTTTAAAATCATAAAATGAAATATACTAATCAGGAATGAATCTAACAAAAATGTGTAAAGTCTGCATGTGGAAAAAAAAATTACATTGAAAACATTACAAAAATATAAATTTATATCACGTTCTTGAGTAGAAAAACTCAATATTATCAAAAGGTCAAATCTCCTTTAGCTAATTTATTAATTTAATTTGATCCTGGTAATAGATAGCATCAGTTAGTTTTTCGTACTAGCAATGTTACTGCAAAAATCTTAGAGAATACTGAATAAGAATAGTCACACAAGCTCTAAAAAAACAACAAAAAACCCAAAATTAGTATGGGTATCCTTCTGAGATGTTTACTTATGAACAGACTATTAGATCAGGGAAGTTAAAAAGTTGAAAGTATGCTAAAGTGCATAAGAAAACTTAATAACCAGCAAAAACTAAAGTGGGGATAACATCATTAATGCTTGGTATTTGGGAAATGGGAATTCCTATCAACATGACAATAATGGTCTTATTCTTCACATCCTACAGCAAGATAAAGATTAAACAAAAGTCTATATGATAAAAAAAATAATTAAAAATTGTTAAATTCCTTCCTAAGACCTGCTTCTCAAGCACCTGACTGTACCCAACCTCTGGCTCATCACCTTAAAAAATTCAGCAATAGCTCTGGGGTTGAAAAATATCCTCATTGAGTTTTTATGCAAACTTGCTTTGTATGTTCAGAGTGGCCAGTGGTGTATCCATTGGCACCACCTGCTTCTTGAGCATGTTCCAGAACATCATGATTGGCCCAGGAACTCCCAGATGATAGAACTTAAAATAAAAGCTCAGCGTGCCTAACTCCCAGGTCTCTGATCTTAAATGTGCTGGTAAATACCAGTTTTTTTTCTTCCTTTGATTAACAATGAACAGTGAAAACATCACAAAGAAGTTTGGGGATTGTGAATAACAGTATGTCACAATCACCACTTGCCCTACTTTTTTTTTTTTTTTTTTTTTACAAATAGTTTATTGTCAAATTAGTTTCTACATAACACTCAGTGCTCATCCCC